TTCGATACCTGGTCTGCCTATTTGATCTCTGAATTATCTACAGAGCAATTGCGTGACATAATGATTATTTTCCAGTACTCCAAGTGGTTCCTCACTGCCAAACTCTCCAACACGCTTGGCGATCTAGATGTCCTTTAGCAGCCCCTTAAACATTACTACTCATTCATTCATACCCATGATTATACTTTCCCCATTCCCTCTTTCTCTTTAATTTGTCTTTAATTTAGCTCAATAACTTGAGATAGCACCTCTGACACGCTCTCCTAATACCCAACAACTACTCTTTTTCATACACTCCATGGATGTTATGTTATTAAGGCTATTCAAACTGTCATTAACAATTGTCACTCTGGCTATGGTTAAGTTTTGAAGTTTATATTTCTTGTGTACCTCATTCTGTGACGGTATCTCTAATAATTGCAGTAATGTGCACTGTTGACATATGACGGTGGATGTTTCCACAAATCTTTTTGTTTTCATACAAGTGTCTATACAATGTACACCGTGGATACCTGTTAATTATACTGTATTTAAACTACAATAAAAATTGACATGCAAAAAAAATAAAAAAAATAAATCAATCTACATTTGATTCTACCGAGGTCTGGAAACCTGAACTCCAAGCAGTTATATACATATACAATGTTGTATATAACTGCAGAAGAATTTGGAACTGTAACAATTGTTATGATTCGCACCCCTTTTAGTGACATTTAATAACAGGCAGGTAACACAACTAGCTTGCTGTGCACATTAAGGCCTCATTCACACAACCGTGCATATATGCGCGTACGCACGTATTGTACCATATGCAAATAAATGGCTCCATACACATAGCTGCGTTTGCAGCCGTATATTTGCGTAGCGTAAAAATGCGCAAAAACAAAATGGGATCAAGATGAGCCCGGGCAGCGTATTTCTATGTATTTTACGCGCATATATGCGTGTTTGCGCGCGCGTACAGTTCATTAAAATTTCTATTACGAATGATGCATTCTGGGATTGCATATGGTGCACGTATATACACACACACACACACGCGTGTGTACATACGCAATATACAATTTTGCTCTTGCGTTGTGTGACTGAGGCCTAAACAAGCGATGGCTCTCCCCTGCACCAGAAAAATGGCCATGAAGCTTGTCACTGTCACGTACTCGATGCCTTCAGTTTTCCATGCAGCGACACATCAACCTTTTTATTGTCAGCCCCGCCACAAGTGATATTTCATAGATAAACTCTCCTGGGACGAGTAACGATGGCTTTCCATATATCTCAGGGGCTCATTTATATCTTCTATATATATCTCAGGGGCTTCAGCACCGTCTCCACCACAGCTCCTGCCAGCGCTCCTGATCCCCTGGAAGTTCCAACCTATTTTTGTGTGCTCCCACACCTTAACCAATATAAAATAAAGTAAACCTGTAGACAAAGTACCTCCCCCTCAGCTTATCCAATTTATTTTGAATGAAACAAATGAACAATGTGGTGCCATGTAGCACAATGTGAGAGCTGAAGGTTGGTACTCAGATTATACATTTAGTATAAAGCATAGCTCCAGTCTTTTTTTATTCTGGTAATTACAGGGCCCCCTCGCCCTCCTCTGGGTCAAGCACTACTCGCCCTCCTGACGCTCCAGCACGGTCCCTCACTTCCTCCTTTGTCTTGCACTGACATTCTTTCTGAACTGAATATAGGCCAACACGTTTCAAAGCATTTAACCCACTTCCTGCAAGCCCCGTCATGAACACAGCTACCCTTGACCCCCCCCCCCAAGAAAATTGTCATCATTACATGACCCTGTGCCTACACTTCTACTGGAATAGGTACGTTACGCACACCTATTCTATTGTATTCCTCTATAGTTGATGGTACATTGTTCTGTATAATATAAAGCGCAATGTGCCATCAGCTATAGAGGAATACAAATCTCTGCAATACATTAATACAGCACAGTTTACCATGTGGGGGGAAAGTGCAGGCAGTCTAACAGTCTCCCACCAACTTTCTACCCCGAGATCGTGCGCCTGTCTGTCGGCAGCTGCTGCCCTCCCCCCCACACGCACGCACACACACACACACACACACACACACACACACGCACACACACACGCTCTTCCTGGCTCAGTCTCCCTGTGCCGATCATGGATAGTGTGGGCGGGCAGCAGCAAGTCAGTGAGAGCTTGGTGAGGGAGAAGCGGCGTGCGTGGAGCCGCAAGCAAGGCAACTAATCGAAAGTCAACTAATCGATGATGGAAATCGTTGACAACGATTCGTTGTTGCAGCCCTAACCGCCTGAGTTTAGTGTCACTTTAACTCGCCAGGATCTACTGAAGACAGAAATGTCAGCTATGTACGGGGGAACCCTTTAAGGAAACCAGATATGATACTGTCACCCCGGCGACACGTTATATAATAAATCGGGGTGAGGAAAGTTACCTGTCTTTTTATTCTTATCCACGTAGCAATATTTGATCTCGTAGTCCTTTAATAGCTCATGGATGTCCTAGGGGGGGGGAAATAAGAAAACAGTAAACTTAGAAGAAGTGATAGAAAACAACTTCCATCTGTGACAGAGAACAGACACTGCTGATGAAAAATGGGATGGAGCCGGTGTTTACTTTAGAAATTGCTGCAATGTCATGTATTTATACAGACACGGCTCCTGCAAACACTTCTCCGCTAAATGCTGGAACCCCGAGACATAAAACATTCCGCTGCGTTCTTTAATGAAGTTGCTACGGTTTTTTTTCTTCCTCCCAGCAAAGTTGCTAAACCGCGCATTTAATGGGCAGCCCCCCCCCCCCCCCCCCCCAAAAAAGGACGGGCCGCATTGTTGGGG